AGAAGATTTTTCCAAGTAAGATCACATTCACAGGTTGCAGGGCATAGGAGGTAGAAAATCGTTTGGGGGGTTACCATTTAACCCACTACAGTCTTCAATGCTTTGAAGACTGTCCTCTAGGACTTTCTTGCCTCTGAGTTCCCATGTCCTCTTTTCAAGTATCTTCAGGCATTTTTGACAGACTGTTATACAGTTAGGCATTTTAGCACTAGTGCTAAGAGTGTGGGTTATAGAATTAGATGCCCTGGATTCAAATCCCAGTGTTGTCACTTGCCAGCTGAATGATACTGGCCAGTCTCTTAATTCCTCTTGCCAGGGTCAGAACATAGTAATGTGCCTAGGACACAGAGTTTAAGGGAACACTCACTCTCAGGATGCCACAAATGCAGGGGCAGCCCTTTCATTACCCTTCATGTAAGATTTTCGCAAGCTTCTGTAAGTTTTGTGCCTTAGTCCTATCTTGACTTATCCTAGTCCCTGTCCTGCCTCTTGCCCAGGTTTTCTAATCTGTAAAGTGGGGGTAAGAACCTCCCTGATGGAAAATTTGTAAGAATTAAATGAGTAACACAAGTAAAAGACTTAGCACAGTGCATGTCACACAGTAAGGACTCAGTAAATGATAGCTGTTGTTGATCTAACTAGACAGTACACTCATTAAGAGTTGGTCTTCACATCTAATTCAGTCTTATATTCCTAATAACCTTAAATTGCCAAAACTTGGAAGCAACCAAGATGTCTTTCAGAAGATGAAATGTATAAACTGTGATACATCTGGTCAATGGAATACCAGTCAGCACTAAACAGAAATGTGCTATCAAGCCATGAAAAGGCCATGGAAGACCCTTAGATCCACATTAATAAGGGAAGAAGCCAATCTGAAAAGGCTACATACTACGTGATTACAACACATGACATTCTGGAAAAGGCAAAACTTTGGAGACAGTGAAGAGATCAGTGGTTGCTAGGGATTGGGGGACACAAATGTACCCAAGACTGTACACTTGTCCAAACCTGTGGAATGTCCAACACCAGGAGTGAACCCTGGTGCAAATAGGGTCTTTGGGTGGTGATGTGTCAATGCAGTTGTAACATCATCAATTGTAATAAATGTGCCCTTCTGGTGGGAGATGCTCAGAGGGGAGGCTGTGCATGTATGGGGGTGGGAGGTAAATGTGGGGGGTTCTCTGTACATTCTGTTCACCGTTAACCTAAAACTGCTCTAAAAAATAAAGTCTATTTTTTAAAAAAAACCTGAACACATTACATTGAAAATAGGAAGCGATCAAGTCTGTTTGAGTGAGTTAATGAACATTTGCTAAGTTTAAGGCACGTGGTAATTGGGTTTATAATCTGTAATTAAGCAAACCACCCAAGCCTTGAGTCCCCAGATCAAGAGTTCTCGAGCTGATTCATCTCTTTGTTCCTGTTTATTGTTTAGAAGATTTAGGTGAGGTACTTTGGACAGAGGGAGTAGAGCCCAAGCCTCAGAAAATTTCTGAGGTTGGTTTTCAAATTAGAACCATGAAGAAAAGGCTCTGAAAGTGGGATGCGTGCATGTTGGAAGGATTGGCTCATGTCTGGATAGCAGCAGCTCAAATGTGCAAAGTGGCTTTGGTCCTTGCGTGCTAGTCCCATCAGGAAAGCCTGGGCTCCTTCTTGGTTACACACTTGCCAGCTCCCTGGGAAAGAGATTCTTTCATGGAACACAGAGATTACCTTGCATCTTGCCTGGGACTCCATGAAATCTTTGGCAGTGCCTGGGTCCAGCTGGGTGTACCCCGAAACACCACATTTATTTGATATCAGGATTGATATTCCTCTTTTACATTGTGGTTGGGACTCATTAACTCTCAATAAGAACCAACCTTAAAGGAGGAGTTTCCTCCCTCTCTAGCAAAAAAGAAAAAAGTTTGCTTGGATGGGCCACAGCTCCTGTAACTGATTTGCTCTCCTGGCACAGGACAGCATGTTGTGTGGTACCCTGAGGCTGGTGAGAAAGGGAACACACTCAAGAATTCCTGGGTGGGAAGGCTCTTCCCTGCATTTACCACAATTGCTAAAATGCTATGCTTAATAGCCCAAGACTGGTCTATATTTGCATGGAAAATGTGTATGTGTGGAATGTCATTTTATTCTTTTACTTCAAGATGGCCATAATAAGAGCCAGACTGTTGATGAGTCTAATGATTAGAAGCAGCCTCTAAATTCCCCACACAATCATGTTGGGTTCAATTTTGAGATCTTGTTCTAATAGTTCAAAATGTGTGGTGTTTATCTAGCAACCTCACTAAAAGACCCGTATTCATTGGTGCCAAACACGTGCATTAGGTTTGCAGCTGCCCAGTTCAAGGATTGTTTCCATAACCAGCCATGGGGTTTAAGTAAAGCAGTCCGGAAAGGCACTGGGGAGGTTCATTTTAGAAACTGCTGTATTTATGGTCATCATATCACTGTTAAATTGGCAGGCAGGAGGCAGCCTTCAGTGTGGCTCAGCGTGTACACTCACCATTCCTGGATGAGCTGCGTGCTTGGAAACAGAAGCACAGAGACGGTTCTGGCTCCAAGAGCTTCGCTCAATGTTTCTGCCCATCTGAGTCATGTCCACTATTGCACCTGCTTCCTTTGGAGCCAGACTTACACATTATCACCATTACTCTTTCATAGCAATAAAACTGCACTAATCTAGGAAATCTGCCTTTTCCCTTTCTTTCTTTGCCACAGAACAGAGTATCCGGGAGTGTGTGGGGTGTGGGAAAGGTTGAAGGACAGATTCGGGATCACTGCTTAAGAAATTCTTTTATTGTATTTGTTTTCAAGAGATACTGGTAATGAAAGTATTATAGTTATAGGGCAAGCAAACATTTAAGCTGGAAAACGATCAGAGGGTAAAGGCCTCTGCTTTTAATCTACTACATGAAAGGTAATTGTTACTCATTTCCAAAGCTATTATCAACTCACAGTGTGGGGTTGGTGAAGCTCTTGCCATATAGTTAGTGATGTTCACAAAAGAGCCACTGACTTTGAAAGAGAGAACCATGGACCCCAAGAATGAACTTATCACTTCCATTTATAATTTATTTGAGCAAAAAGATTTGAATGTAAATATCAAAACATGGTTCCACACTCCCATAGAATGTGTTCTGTCATGGACCAGGAAGTGTCACTTTTTAAACTCTTGAATGTCTAGCAATGTCTAGGACTAGCAATAGGAAAAGAAGCCACATAGCAAGGGCAGAAGTGTCTAGCCCAGAGGTTGGCAAACTACAGCCTGGCCACCTGTTTTTGTAAGTAAAGTTTTACTAGGACACAGATATGCACTTTTGTTTCCATATTGTGTATGGCTGCTTTCTGTGACGACATAGGTGACAAACACCATATGGATAACCCAACCCCTGAAATATTTACTCTTGATGTCTCTACCAAAAACTTTGCCTAGCCCTGGTTTAGACAAATCGTCAGATGAGCCAACTGTTAGCTAAAGGTCCCCAAAGCACAACACGAAGTGAAGGCCCAGCTTGGGTTTCATTGTTAGGCAGTCAACTGAAACTCCTTTCCCCCTTACTTTGGAACAGTAATATGGCAAGTAAAATTATGTCTGAATATATTTTATATGTTACTTAGGCTTCTAAAGCATTGCTGAATTGTTAAAATGTGCACAAGTCAATGTTGTTTCTCAGAACTTTTAATAGACGCGTTGGTGGGCTCTAAAGTACCTGCATTACGACTGTGTCTGTGTAAAATTCATCGATGCTCAAAAACCAGGCCCTGTAGCTACACAAGTAGGCCTCCTTGAAGCAAAACTCTTCAGTCTAATTGTTTTCTCAATCTATGAAACCAGTTTTAAGAGTTAACAGAAATCTGTTGTTTAAGGCATCAGACACGTTTCTTAGCTGAGCTTCCAGTGCCCGCATGCTGGACCAACTCAGTAAAACAAGCCTTACAGGATATGCCTGTTTTATCTGAATGAATGTGACATTTTCCACAAAGGTAGGAACTGTTACTAGAATTTAGGAGCCAGACATAGACTCTGGGTTATTTTTCATACATTGGTGATGAATGTGAATCTCTCTCCTTTGTGGCCGGTCTGGTCAAGGTATAGGTTGTGACAAAGAACAAAGCTAAGAGACCCCAAAGTGTTAAGATTACAGACTCTCTAGCTCTGAGGTGACCTACACAAACACAAGATGATTGGCTGGAACAATATCAGATATAAGCATCAAAACTGATCAGAAGTTTTGAAATGCCATTAAGGATAGGGCTTATTATTTGATATTGGTTACAGTGAAGGTTACCTCTTTTCTTCCTAGTTAAATGTTAGGCAGATCATAAATAACAGACATTATTATGGATTTCACCTGCAAATGTATCTTAGTAGATACATGATTAATTGCAGCAGAAAAGCTATCTGGGGCACAGGAGTGCCTAGGCTTCCATTTGAAGCTCAGGTCTCCCCATCCAGCTGTATTCTCTGTGTACAGATTATTTATTTATTTATTTAGTATTGAGACAGAGTCTTACTATGTCACCCTCAGTAGAGTGCTATGCATCACAGCTCACAGCAACCTCAACCTCTTGGGCTTAAGCAATTCTCTTGCCTCAGCCTTCCAAGTAGCTGGGACTACAGGCGCCTGCCACAAAGCCTAGCTATTTTTTGGTTGCAGCTGTCATTGTTTAGCAGGCCCTTTGGGGTCTGTGGCTGGCGCCCTATTCACTGAGCTATGGGCACCGAGCCTCTGTGTGCAGATTTAAATGGCTGAGCTCCGGCTCTCTAATCGTAGCTCTCCTTTTCCTAGAATTCACAAAGTTTGAGATAATGACTTGGGGAAGAAATGGGGTGTGATGAAAACTGTCACTAAGAATTTAAATATGATTTTTGAGACTTATGTTGAGAGTTAAAACATATAAACTCACTTGCGAAATTATAAGACCTGTAACAAATAAGAAATAAAGGCATAGGATATGAAAATTTTCTTCAGTCTCCATTCAAGGAAAAGAGACTCATACAGCTGAAGAAAACATCACTATTCTGTATTTTTATTAAAAAATAAACTTTGGTCTTAATGCTTTCCCCCCCTCATGGTTCATGAATTTATGTGTCATCCCTGCATAGGGGCCACACTAATCTCTGCATGGCTCCGATTTTAGTATATGTGCTGCTGAAGTGAGCACAGCCCTAATTCTTAAACTTTCTCTTTCTTACACTTAAAAAGCCCACCAGCTAAGGTCTTTTGCTTTGGGTATACACCATCATAGAATGCCATTTATAAATGTCAAAGAAACCCTTACATTTTCAAAGAAGGATTTTAATAGCACTAGTTTTTAGAAAAGATGATTCGCCATTCTAATTTGGGACTAGAAAGGTGAGATTTTTATGGGGAGGCTCATTAAAGTTGTCCTAGAAAAAAACGCATGTTCTCCAACCTTGTTTTCAGGAGCGAGACTGTGGAGCTAAAGCATCTCTTTAAACCAAAGGAACCAGAAGCCACGTGGGAGAAGCAATCTACGTGTTCTGTGACCAAATCGCAATGTACGTCTTTGTGCAACATTCCTGCTGGAGCAGCCAGGCCCTAAGGAAGCCCCAGCTGGTGAGATGATCGCCAGGGGGAGGTCCAGGGTGTGGGGAGCACGTCAGGTTACATTCCAGGACAGCATTAGCCTGCCAAAGCCAGGAAGACCCGATTGTTCTAGACACCGAGGTGGGGGAAAGGAGGAAATGAATGCTAGGGCCTGTCAGCGTAAAAGACCTGCTGATGCCAATTGAACACGTGCAAGTTTAAAGAGGTGGTATCGAGTGACAGGCTGACAGCGTCCCTCCCAGCACATTAGACCTCTTTCTTCTCTCCACTTTGGCTCTTTGCTGAGTCGCTTCCATCAGGCAACGTTCCATAGGATAAGCTATTCGAATCTGGTTGTATTTTGTCCAGCATTTGTTTCCCTGTGGAGATAATAAACATAAAACCCTTTTGAGGTCCTACAGAGAAATAAGGCCTAATAATTTCTCTTCGATTTAGGCCACATTTGATCCCCCATTTTTTAAATGTTATGTGGTCATCCCCTAAACAGAAGAGAGAAAAGTCAGGAAAGTAAAGGCCCCCGAACCCCACGTCCACGCGAGAGCTGCCCCCCCACCTCCCTGCAGGATCTACATCTGTGCATGAAGTCAGGCTGGTTCCATCGGGGGTGGGCACGAAGCATTCTGTCTTCTTTTCCATGTTTAGTTTAATGTATATAACAATACAGAAACATAGCCTTAAATACTGGCTTCCAAAGCTGATCCCGAGCTTATGTACGGGCTTTGGGAAGTGGAAAATAGAGTCGAAAATAATTGAACTTTATTTCCTACTAAACTTCTCACCAGACAAGTCATCTCTCAGGCACTCCCTTGCCAGGAACGCCACCACTGAATGCTCCTGGCTGGTAGGATGGCCCAAATGGCAAAGAGGACGCAGAATTCATGTTAGAGGGACATGTTTCTCAGTCGTAGAGAAGAGGCTTGCTTTGTTTTTGCTTCAGGGGTGTGGTGCTAACAGAATGGTGGAGGAAGCTTTGAGCGTATGTGTACCCTTGTCTGGAAACTGATGGGTCCCCCCAAATTCCCAGGTAACCTGGAGAATGCTGGGGTGGGGTGGGCAAGGGAGGAAGTGAGGCACAGCTGACCATGCCCTTCATTTTGGATTTTACTTCTGTGCTCTAAATCACCGAGGGAATTATTTCCCGGCGAGAGTGAGTGAAGCGTCTTAGCTCACCCTGGATGAGCGCTGTGAGGAGGAAGGGAAGAAGCTATTCCTGTCCTGGTGACTGTGATGGACGTTGCTCTGGGCACCGCTGTGCACAAGCCACCTCAGTCTCCCAGGAATGATGTCCCTTAGCTGCCTGGCCCTCTATACTTAGATGTCTTTTCAAAGGCTCTCCAAGTGGCCGCGCTCTGCTGTTGGTAGCCATTCCCACTTTCCCCCCTCTTCTTTTACAACTTTAGGATACTTAAAATGGAAATCCTTCAAATCATCCAAATCAAGAAAACATGGTTGACTCATTAAAACCCCAGGATTCTGTGCACAACTGGATGTTCAACAAATTAATATTAACATTTACCCTTAAAACATCACCTTAGGTTTCAAGATTCACACACACATTTTTTGAGCGTAAGAATTATGTTTTACATTAACTTACTGCCCAAATAATACCAACAATTATTAATTTATAAGGGTAAAATATTCATAAAATATAAAATATATTATGAAGAATATATAATTTACCAGGAATATTCCCAAAATCAATATAAGACTGTCGCAGATGTTCCTTTTCTCGATTTCTTGTGACCAAAAACACACCAAGGAATGAAAGAAAACACCTGTAAAGATAGTATGAATAAACAACACAAGAATATCGAGATAGCACATGGTATTAAATAATTGAGCTCCATATTCTATGATGACATAAATTACACTGGTTTTGTCCATGCAGTTTCTCATGGTAAGCCTCCTAGAACTTTGCTTAATTGCTTTTCTTAATTTGTATCCAGAGCCAAGATGTGGGCAGCTTCCAACAAATTGTGTACCAGGTTTTTACCAAGTGGGAGTTAAGTCATACTATAAACAAACCCTTTGAGTAGACACTAGGCCTCATTTTCTATCCAGGCGTACCCAGACCTATTACTGTCATGCAACACAAGTGAAAAAAGAATTTATTCTTTAATTTTTTTTAAGAAATCCACTTGTCCTTGGCCGTAGGAGTACTCATAGTTTCCCGTCCCCAGACGTTTGACGTTGACCAAATATTTTATGAAATTGAATTTTTGAGATAGATGGTTTCCTAGGCTGAAAACAGTCTAGGCTCAAGTTTGCATAACAATAGCCATACTGAATACAAAACCAAGAAGCTGGTAAACTTCAGTGGAGTCTACCTGGACTTGATTGAAACTCCTGTACACTGGCGACATACTGTCAAAGTTTTGCTCTCTGTCTGCAAACAATACTGGCAATGATGCCCACCAAAATCTCTAAGGAGAGTTCAGGACAGACACTCTGACACATGAAGGGGACACTACCAGTTTGATATTATCATGGCCAAAGCAAGGGATTTGCTCATCTTGGATTTTTATTATGTGTGACCCTAGAGGCATCACAGTTCTCTGCTTGAGATCTAAGGAAGGGGTTCCCAAGAGTGAGGCAGGTCTGTTATAGCACAGACAGGCTGTGGAAGAACAGTGGCCAGTGGCTTTATCTTTCTTTGGTTGAACTTAAAAGTCTCCAGTGTTTTAGAACTGTCACAGGGGCACCTATATCACAAAGCCCAAAACACTGAGCCTTGTGTAGAGTATTAAGGAAAAACATGTTTCTTTTGGGAGCTCAGGAAGCTGATGTTTCTTACACTATTTTCCAATTTTCTGTACTTCAGGTATAATGCCAAAATCCTACATAAAAGTAATAGAATTCCAAATATCTTACCTCTGAGACATTTACTCACCCAAAAAGATATATAAATATAGTGAGAAAAGCTGCACCAAGGAATTCCTGATAAAATATGATACCTGTAACCGGAGCAGAATACAAAATCAATTTTGAGGTAAGAGTATTTATGACAGCTACACATTGTTTTCAAAATTATGTTAATAAACTATTTTTAAGTATATTTACTCTTAAGATGCCTATTCTTCAGTTTGGTTCAAGAAAATATTGCATGCCATGCTTGCGTTTTTAAATTATTCCACAAACCCCATTGATTTGTAGCCTTTATATGTGCAATTATCACCTTTTGAGAGCAGAAATTTTGTACCTGGTCTGGGATTACCCCAGTGCACCATGCAAGAAAACAGAACTCCAGTGACCATTTCCCACCTGCAGTTTTAGGTTGGAGTGCAAGCCTGGCCTGAGAGTCTGTGTAGACCTGGGGGCCTCTGACGTGGCAGACCCCCAGGCCAGTGACTGCCACCCAGGCTTTTACCCTCATCCACGCCTTGTGGTCTGCTGGTCTGACCACATGGGGCTCAAGCACTGGAGGACAGTCTAGCAAGTGAAGTGCTGCCTCAGCTCTGCTCCCACTGGCACAATCCCTTCTCATCTCCTGGGCTTCCCTTCTGGGTGAAGGAAAACAAGGATGCACCATCTGTGTCAACAAGCTTTTCTTCTCTCGTTGCTGGTCTCAATAATTTCTTCTTGGTCTAATGTCCCAAAGCCTTCCTAGAGTTTTTTATTAGATAGGATACCTTTAAATTATGTATCATCTGGAATTAAATTTTGTGTGTCTGTGATGTTAGCCTTGCCAGTCAGCCAACAAATACTTACTGAACTTCTCCCATGTGTCAGCCACTGCTCTAGGTGCTGAAGACACCACAATGAGTGGGACAAGAGTCCCGTCCACAAGGCGCTTTCTCAATCTTGACACTATCTCCTCACTTAGGGAATGAACTTCTTACAGGAAGAAGCCACATCCAGTTCTAATGAATATTTGTTGAATGAATGAACATTTCTGAAGCATTTGCCATGTGATCACATACTTCTGTGTAATCATTTGAACGTTTTCACATTATTCTAAGTGTATGCACCATAATATTCATTTCTCTAAGGACATTTCAAATTGTCTCTAAATTTTTTTTTCCTTAAGTAAAGCAACAATAAATGTCTTTAATACAGGGATACCTCAGAGACATTGTGGGTTTGGTTCCAGACCACCACAGTAAAGTGAGTCACACACATTTTTTTTGGTTTCCTAGTGTATACAAAAGTTATGTTTGCACTATACAATAAAGTATGCAATAGCGTTTTTCTCTAAAACAACTGAACACATATTAATTTAAAATACTTTATTGCTAAAAACGCTAATTATCATCTAAGCCTGCAGTGATTCATAAACTTTTTGCTGGTGGAGGGTCTTGCCTTAATGTTCATGGTTGCTAACTGATCAGGTTTGTGGTCACTGAAAGCTGGGGTGACAATGGCAATTTTTAAAGATAAGACAACAATGAAGTTTGCCACATCAATTGCCTCTTCTTTTCACGAACGATGTTTGATAGTATTTTAACCTACAGTAGAACTTCTTGCAAAATCGGAGTCAGCTCTCTCAAACTTGCCTCTGCTTTATTAGCTAAGCTTATGGAATATTCTAAGTCCTCTGCTGTCATTTCAATAATATTTGCGATATCTTTGCCAGGAGTAGATTCCATTTTAGGAAGCCATTCACAAAAAGCAGCTCCTCATCCATTTAAAGTTTGATTGTGAGATTGCGGCAATTTAGTCAGATCTTCAGGCTCCACCTCTAAATCTAATTCTCTTGCTATTTCTGTCACATCTGCAGTGACCTCCTCCACTTAAGTCTTGCATCCTTCAAAGTTAACCATGAGGGTTGGAATCAACTTATTCCAAACTCCTGTTTATGCTGAAATTTTGACATCCTCCCATGGATCATGAAAGATGAATCCTTTCCAGAAGTTTTTCAGTTTGCTTTATCTAGTCTAGACTCATCAGAGGAATCCCGACCTATGGCAGCTATTGCAGTACAAAATGTATTTCTTAAATAACAAAACGTGAAAGTCAAAATACTCTTTGACCCATGGGCTGCAGAATGAATGTTCTGTTAGCAAGCATGAAAACAACATGAGCTCATCCAAGCTCTTGGGTGCCAGGTGCATTGTCAATAAGCACTAATATTTTGGAAGGAATCCTTATTCTGAGCAGTAGGTCTTATCAGTGGGCTTAAAATATTCAGTAACCCCTGCTGTCAACAGATGCGCTGTTACCCAGGATTTGTTGTTCCATTTCTAGAGCACAGGCAGAGTAGATTTAGCATAATTCTTAAGGGCACTAGGATTTTCAGAACAGAAGATGAATATTGCTTTCAACTAAAAGTCACCACCTGCATTAGCCCCTAACAAGAGTCAGCCTGTCCTTTGAAACTTTGGATCCAGGAGTTGAATTCTTCTCTTTGGTTATGAAAGCTTGAGATGGCATTTTCTTCAAATAGAAGGCTGGCTGTTTTATCTACATTGAAAGTCTGTTGTTTAATGTAGCAACAATAGATCAATGATCAATGATCTTAGTGAGATCTTCTGGAGAACTTGCTGCAGCTTACTGCTTCACCTTGCACTTTTATGTCATGGAGACAACTTCTTGCCTTAAAATTCTCTTAGCTTCAAACTCTTCTTCTCCAGTTCCCTTACCTCTTAGCTGTCATAGAATTGAAGAGTGTTAGAGCCTTGCTCTGAATAAGGCTTTGGCTTAAGAGAATATCGTGACTGGTTTAATCTTCAATCAAGACTATTTAAACTTTCTCTTATGATTTGTGTGTCCATTGGAGTAGTACTTTTAATTTTCTACAAGTTCTTCTTTTTTGCATTCATAACTTGACTAACTGGCACCAGAGACCTTGCTTTCAGCCTATCTCAGTTTTTGACAATCCTTTCCCACTAAACTTCATTATTTCTAGCATTTTTTTTTTTTTAAACAGTTTCACTCTGTTCCCCCAGGTTAGTGTCAGCCTAGCTTATAGTAACCTCAAACTCCTGGGTTCAACTGATCTTCCTGCCTCAGCCTCCTAAGTAGCTAGGCCTATAGGTGCACACTACAGTGCCCAGCTAATTTTTCCATTTTTAGTAGAGATGGGGTCTTGCTCATGCGCAGGCTAGTTTTGAACTCCCTGAACTCAAGTGAACCTCCTGCCTTGGCCAGGTGCTAGAATTAAAGGTGTGAGCCACTGTGCCAGGCCCCATTTCTAGCTTCTGATTTAAGTTGAGAGTTGTGGGACTCTTCATTTCATCTGAATTCTTACAGGCCATTGGAAGGTTATTCACTGGCCTGATTTCAATATTGTTGTTTCTCAGGAAATAGAGAGGCCCAAGGAGAGGAAGAAAGATGAGGAAATGGCTGGTTGCTGGACCAGACAGAACACACGAAATACTTATTGATCAAGTTTGCTGTTTTATATGGGTGAGGTTCATGGTGTCCCCAAACAATAATAGTAACCCCCAAAATCACTGATCACAGATCACCCCAGCAGATATAATAATAATGACAAATTTGAAATAATGTGAGAATTACCAGAATGACACAGAGACACAAGATGAACCCGTGCTGTTGGAAAAATGTCAACAGACTTGCTCAATATAAGGATACTATAAACCTTCAACTTGTAAAAGACAACAAAATATGTGCAAAGCACAATAAAATGAGGTATACCTCATTAATGTGTTTTTTCACAGCGTTTTAGTATTTTTGTTGTCATTAAAATGAATTTCTAGAAGTGGAATTTCTGTTCCCTCATAGAAACATTTTTTCTTTTAAAAAAAAAACTGTAGTAAATGTACATAAAATAAAATTTACCATCTTAACCCATTTTAAGTGTCGCGTTCAAGAGTGTTAAATATATTCACATTGTTATGCAACCAATTTCCAGAACTTTTTCATCTTGAAAAACTGCAAGTCTATTCCTATTATATAGTTTCTATTTCCCCAGCCACCATTTTACTTTTTGTCTCATTAAGTTTGATTGCTCTAGATATCTCATACAAGTGGAATCAGATGATATTTATATTTTTGTTCCTGGCTTATTTCATTTAGCATAATGTCATCAAGGTTCATCCATGTTGTAGCATGTGTTAGAATTTCTGCCATTTTGAAGGCTGTATTCTGTATTCTATTGTATGTATAGACCACACTTTGTATTCATTCATCTGCTGATGGACATTTGGATTGCTTCACATCTTGACTATTGTCAATAATGCTGCCATGAACCTAAGTATACAAATAACTTTTTTAGACCCTACTTTCAGTTCTTTTGGATATATACCTAAAAGTGGAATGGCTGGATCATAAAATAATTCTATTTTTAACATTTTGTAAGACCTTCCATACTTTTTTCCACAATGGCTGTACCAGTTTACATTCCCATCAGCAGTATATAAGAGTTACAGTATTTCCATATCCTCACCAACACTTGTTGTTTTCTGTTATTAATAGTAGCCATCCTTTTGGGTATCAGGTGATAGCTCATTGTGGTTCTGATTTGCATTTCCCTTATGATTAGTGATGTTGGACAAAGTTTCATATGCTTGTTGGCCATTTGTGTATCTTCCTTTGCCCATTTCAAAAATCAGGTTATGGGGGGGGTTGTTGTTATTGATTTGTAGAATCAAAGAGTGAAATATTTTTAAGACTCTTGATAAAAACTATGAAACTCAGTTCCAGGAGGGCAGTACCATGCTGAGAGTGCCTGTGATACTGTAGCCTTCCTAACACTGACTATTACAATAAAAAGAACAAAGATTTCACTCATTTTGTAGACAAAACATGGTGTCTCATTTTAACACACTGCTGACTAGTCACAAGTTACCCAGTAACATGGATAGTTTCTGTGTAAAATTGCCTGTCAATAATGGGCCAAGAAATTAGAGGCATTACATGATTCTATATTATAGGCAACTGAGAGATGAGGAGCGGAGAAAGAATAAAATAGGCTGAATTTGGGACAACCGGGAATTGAGACTGGGGGAAATGAATCAGGGGAACAGCTGCTATATTAACTGTAAGCTATACTTTTTCATGGAGGTAGAGAGGAGAAATTAGTCAAGAAGCTTCATCCCATTCCATGTGCCCGTGATATCGGAGGAACTGCTATGACTCCCAGGTGGTCCTAGGCTCCCCAAATTATCAGTTACTCTGTATGCCAAGTATTAGGACCCAGCCTTGCTGTCCTAGAAAATCTTCTACATTCATTACACATCATTATGCACATTAATTAGTATTAACTATTAGGCTGTATGTTGTTCTTATAACTCTTTTTGGCCTTACTTTCCTTTTCCAGTCATTTTAGGACATGCCAATATGTAATCTCATTTTCTTTAATTAATGAGCATAAAATACTAAAAAAAAATAGAGGTCATGAGATACAATCTTTTTTTTTTGAAATACAAGTGTTAATTTTGGGCATAAGAAGAGGCATTAATTTCTTTAAAAGGTTTCCCACTGATAGTCACATTGTTTTCATGAAATAAAAAAGATGACCCAATTAGGAAACAGAAATTATTACCTCCAAAATACACACACTTACACTGAGAAATGAACTCCCAAGAGAAGGTGGTAAATACATCAAATAAACCAATGAACTAGGGCATGCCAGTACCAAATTTAGAAATGGTATACTTGAATATATTGTATTTCAGTTTGGACCAAGTTTCTAATTTATACTTTTTAATACTGTCACATCTGACATGTTTTAAAATGTTGTCCATAAAAATAAAGGAACTGCAACAGTAGAAAAACAGAGGCCAGAACAGTGATGGTTTTTATTCCCATCTGTGAGGCCTTCTGGAACACTGAATTGGGTTTTAGAGCCTACTCTCTGATCAAGCTGGTAGGCATCTAGGAAAAGCTAGTAGAATTGGGGATGTTTAGCCCAGAGAGAAGACTCCCGAGGACATGTCAGTTGCTTTGATTATCAGAAGGGCTGGCAAGGGAAAGACTTCAGAAAGCTAAACTAAGACGAGTGTCTTGAATTCACAAGAAAACGAATTTCAGCTCCAAAATAAGGAAATACTCTGTAACAATCAGAACGCTCCCAGTAATGAGAGTGATTCAAAACAGGACTGAGCTGCCTCAGGAGGCACTGGGAGAGAGCACTGGGAGCCTCCATACAAAGTAGCATAGCCTGGCTTAGAGGATGTCATGGAGGAAAGTCAGACACCACATGGAGGCTAGGGGGATACTGACCTCAAAACCTAAACATTCCTTGATGCTCTCATTTGCTCTGAGACAAAAGCCTTTTGTGCTTAGAATCACCTATGTACAAGAAACCAAAACTCACCTGCAATAATGGCACTGGTTGTAAAGAAGATATGGTTAACTGGCACCACCGTTGTTGTATTGTAGAGTTTCGTGGCTTGATTCAGGAACCTAGGGCAGAAGGCACTTACTGGGGCTCTGGCTTTAAGAGATACTCAGCAAAAAGTTAACAATAACTTCAAGAAACGCATGTTCTTTAGCTACAACTACAAAGGGAAAGGAAGTGCATTGAAAGGGCATTTCCAATCAGCAGTCATAGCTTATATGCATCTGATGTATGAGATCAGATGTCAGGTTTTATGGTCTGTTTAAACCAACAACAGTAACAATGAAAAGCAATTAATCATATTCCGAGGCCACAGAAGTTTGAGTTGGAAGTGATTCAAGCTGCTGGACCAGTATCACACTCGGGCTGATTCATTAGGATAGGACCTAGAATCTGTTAAATATCATATCTGGGGAATAGTATAGCTATCCATTGACATGCCACGTGCCAAGAAAGGAGATGGAGAAGAAAAGGAATGTTTAATGTTTCAAAAACAATGCTCAGTGCTCCAGCTGCAGCGCACATGTGGGAGCTCAGCTTCTCACTCTGGCCACCAACATAAATTCAGCTTCCCACAACTGTGCTGTGCTGCCCTGTCAGGGACTAGACTATCTTCTGAAGTAGTAAATTGCACTGATATCATCTGGGCACTTTTGGAAAAAGCACTAATGCTTAGGTTTTACAGAGTGATTGAAAAAAAAAATCTTTGTGGGTAGAGCCCAGGTCATGTGTGTATGTGTGTGTGTTTACATACACGTGCATAGGTATACACAAAGGCATGCATACATGCAGATACATGTATACACACATACACGTGCACAAACAGACCTGTAATTTTACAGTTTTGGCCCGGGGCTGGGCTTGAACCCGCCACCCCTGGAATATGGGGCCGACGCCCTACTCCTCGAGCCACAGGCGCCACCCCAGACCTGTAACTTTAATGGGCAACGAGAACTGAGAACCACAGCTCTACAGTGTACCCAGTGCAGGGACTGAAACAAGGGTGATAGGATGCAATTTCCCTTCGATTGCATCTGCCTTTCAAATTTATAAAGCATAGAACAAAGCTACTAAATCTTAGAAGGTACTGGAGCAGTATCAATTAATTCAGAAGAAAAAAGAGAAAAAACAAGATAGGAAGATTCTAGTACAGAAACACACTTAGTCTCCTAAGGGAATGATAAACAAAACAGTGACCAAACCTTGGGTTTCTCCGCTAACTCCCCACAGACCTTGTAGCAGGGCCTATATTCAGCCTGTAACAACTGGACTTTACTTCTAGCACCTGTAACAATTGGACTTTACTTCTAGCACTCAAACACTCTTATTTTGAGTATGAGCTCTGATTTCCTAGTGGAAATCCTGATTTCTAGGATAGTGCTTTTGCATAGCATTTTGGGATGAACAGAAAACTTTCAGGTCAACTTAAGAGAGCCTAGCAGGCAAAAGCACAATCCTAACATGAAATGGAGGGGAAGTGATTGGAGCAGATGGGGGTGGGGTGGGGTGGGAGAGAAGAACAGAAATTTAAAATGTTCCATGTCACCACTACTAGGCCCCAAGAGAAACATAAAGCAATCATTCTGCAATCCCACGGGTACAAAGAAAATTCTGGCCAAAGATGCAAAGTTCTGGGGAAAGGATTTCCCTCCAGGCCAAACGTCTGGTTTTGTCCATCTCTGGGCAATTAACGAGCATGAGCTAAGAAACGGAGGTGAAGGGTTCATGTATTTCCTATATTTAGAATGAAATCCTGGATGTGGACCTGCCCCTTTGATTTATTGCTAATGACAACCTGTGCATGATGGATATTAATTACAAGCAGAAGAGCATCAGGAAAGTATCAAAGTGCACTTAGCTGGATTAGGGCCACACTTCAGAACTCACAAGACATGAAGGCAACGCTTAGTAAAAGTTAATATTGGACGCAAAGGACAAAGCAAGGCATGTTAGCGGAGGATAAGCTAGCTGCAGGCCCTTCACCCTTAGAAATCAGTTGTAGCTCACTGTAATCATCATGAAGCCCACGAAGACTCATGCTCAGAGAAGCACAGGAGGGCCAAAAGCTTAGCGAGTATGTAGACGCTAACTTACTTGACTTGGAAAACACAAGACGCTACCATGATGATAAACATGATATAGAAGATGGGATAAGTTAGTTGCATTTTATCCATCATAGAAAAAGTGATCATGCCTGAGACAGCTTTTACTGAAATAACAGTCAATGAGGCTGAAAAAGAAAACAAAGAACACAAAGTACACACTTGAGATAGAATTAAAATAAATATCTTACGTTTACGTGGTAGAGTAGCAACACGCCAATTATGCTTTACGGATGAACACGGTCAGATGAACACGGTGGCGGGAGGTGTACGGAGGATGTGACATTAGGCAAGCAGTAGCCCTGCAGCTCAAACGCTGTGGGACTTTAAATTTGCCTAAATCGGCTAAAGGTCTGCTGAGACTCTGGGTGCTTTTTATCTTTGGAGCAAGGTGCTTAGGTTCCAGCCCTGACTATTGAAAGAACGCTAAGAAGGTGACAATTACCAGTCGGTGGGAAGGACAAAAACAATGGGGGAGGGAGGTAGAAAGGTCAGAGTCTCCATGTGACATTAAGGGGAAAAGGACTATTAAACCATACTGAGAACTGAAAAACCCAATAGATGACAAGACTGGAAAGTGGCAAGCAACTCACTCCCTGAGTTTGCTAAGAGCTGTACAAAGTCTCCATGTGTGAGCCTTTTTGTTAGTCCTTTAACAAACTTCAGGCGTCTGCTAGCCAAAATTTCATTAAAAATACTTTTTGACAAAGATAGTAACAGGAAGCAGGACCAGGGCTGAGGACTCATTTTTCAGAGTCAACCATAAATCTGGGCTTTACATAAGCAATATCTGTTTATTTTCTATGCTAAAGAGACACCCATCCCTTAGGAGAATAAATTTTCCTTAGGTTCCAAATAACAATTAAGAAAAAGTAACTTGATAAGGTTCTACCACTATGAAAGCAATGGGGAGCGTTTTCTGGTAACACTATTTTCTGTAGGAGGAAGATAAAGCTTTCTGTCCTGTATCCCTTCAAGTTACTGTTACAAATAATTCCAAAATTCAGCTGAAACCTACAGGAAGTTCAAAAATAATTTTTACATGAAATTAAATAATCATAAGTCAAAGGCAACGTGAAAGAGAAATACTCTCTTTGTTGCCATTTCTTTGCAAAGGTACTTTCCACATATAAATATTCTAATGAATGTGTTTAAAATAGCAGATAATGGCCAACCAGGAAAAGAACGTCCTATAATTTCCTTCTCCAAAAAACTGAAAATATACTTTAACTTGAAGGGTACTAAGGCACATTTCCAAGTTAGGCGTTTTCTTTCAGTTAAAAGTCATAATTAACTGAAGAGACCAGGTGAGAAATTCTAAAAACAAACCCCAAATCTGAACAAAGAGGCCCTTACAATTAGGCCCCTCTCCATCTTAAAATATGTGTTGACTAGATCCTTCACCGATTTCCTCATCATTACCACAATAGTCATAGCTTAGCTAATCTAGGAATTTTAAACATTTGTAGAGATCTGTGTGTCGCTTGACAGTTGAAGTTTGTAGGTTAGCTCTTGAGGGACCTGAATTTCCTCCTAAAGACTTCTGAAATTAGAGCACAAGGAAGTTAGGGTCTTGTGGTCTGAACAGCCAGGTTTCCCAGAGGGCTAAGTAATAAAGAAGGAGTTGATCCCACCATTCCATTAGCCTCAGAACCTCAGGATTGCAAAAGACCTTAAAGGTCATCAATCTAACCACCATCTGATCTTAAATTGTACTTATATACAAAACTAGAATTTGTTATTAAACTTCTAAACAAGCCATCAATATCTACAGTTAAGGTTTTTAAAGCATGTGTAATTGTTAACTGATTAATTAGTATTTATTGTAACTGTACATTATTTCTAGGCTGGTGTGGAGGAAACTAAGTTTTTTGGTGGGGAGAGGAGGTTGATAAGGACAGGCTGAAATACAAAACTGTAATGCAGTATCATTTTAATGCTTCATACTGAAAAATAGAAAGTACTTATGAATGCAAAGTAAAAAAGGCCAGAGGAAACCACATCAAGATACGCGTATTGTCAATGGTTATCTCTAGCACTGAGAGTATCAATACATTTAACATTCATTTTTAAAAATCTATAACAGTATATACACCCCTTGAAAAAAGTTTGGAAATGTGGAAAAGCCTGGAAAGGAAAATTAAAATCACCTGTAAACTCAATGCTCACTCCCAAATCGTGGTTAGTGTTTGGGCACATCATTATCTATCTATAAATACAAATAAATCATGACATGTAAATTAAATAGTGTTTACTACTTAGGAGCCTATTTTCCAGTGTACACTACTTAGGAACCTATTTACCATTGCGTATTCCTGTAAAGGATGATTGTTATGGGCTGTAAAGAATGTCTTTGAGTGAATGTACAATTTACTTGTACAACTCCCTATTTTTTGATACTTAGATTGTATCCACTTTTTTCTATTAAAAATGAAGCCATGATTAATATTCTTTTAAAAAATATTCTTGAACATAAATCTTTGTATATCACTCTTGCTATTTTCTTAGGAAAACCACCTAAAGGGGAATTATTGTGTTGACAGCTGCTATGAAGGCTTCTGAAATATACTGGCAAGCTGTCTTCGGAGAGTATCAGTCACAATTTGTCATAGTGTGCTAGAGTGCTCAATTACACGGGTTTTATATTTTGTGTATCTTTCTGTAGTTTCCTAATTACCAACAATACACATACTACTGTCATCATTATAACAATACCATTTTTCCAAACAGGTGCTGACCCATTTTTTGAAATTTGGTCCTCTCAGTTTAGTCTTAGTTCTTCATCAACAGCTCCTTCCAAAACCTTTCCCAGATTGACACTGATGTCTCCTTGTTAGGACCAAAATACTTTATTGATTAATTTGGCTTCAACAACCAGAGTGTGATAGGATAGAGAATGACTTTCCTGTCCCCCAGATTCCTGATCTGTTGAAAGGACCACACTGGGAAGCTTTGGATTTTTTAAAGATCACAGCTACAGGCAAAGGAGACCACTCACAAGAAGCCGGATTTCTTTCTTCCTGATGCCTTCAATTTCTATTCCTTTTCTTAGTTCTACTTTTTATCTATTGCACCAGCAATATATGATAGCAATGAAGTAAAAAAAAAAAAAAAATTCCCCCACATGCTTTATTACCTCTCTTTCATTTCCAGTTTTTGCCTCCTGTGTGCTTTTAATCACAATGAATGTCGATACCATGTTCTGTGCTACTTTTCTCACTATATATATAAAATAATATAAGTATTTTTCAAAGCTGCTACATGATTTTAATAATTATTTTAGTCAGGAATGATCATTGTGAAACACTCAAAGAGCAAGATGAGCAAAGGGAAGAGCGGGCATCTTTTTTCTCATTTCTTACTGTAATGAGAATACTTCTAGTGTTTCATCATTAAGGTTTTTATTAGCGATGAATATGAAACTTTAACACAGCTTTTCAACATCTATTGAGAGAATTACATGTATTTCCATTTTTAAAGCATTTTTCCAGCTTTATTGGGGGTATCTTTCAAATATAAAATTATGTAAATTTAAGGTGTACAATGTCATGACTTGATGTATTATATGTATGTACGTATTGTAAAATGATTACTAAATCAAGTTGGGTGACATATCTTTCACTTGACATAGTTATCATTTTTGTGTGGTGAGAATATTTGAAATCTACTCTCAAGCAAATTTTAAATACAATGTTCTGAACTATGGTCATTGTAGTGAATGTTAGATCTCCAGAACTTATGCATCTTTTTTTTTTTTGAGATGGAGCCTCAAGCTATCCCCCTGGGTAGAGTGCTATGGCATCACGCTCACAGCAACCTCCAACTCCTGGGCTCAAACGAGTCTCCTGCCTCAGCCTCCCAAGCAGCTGGGACTACAGGCGCCCACCACAGCGCCTGGCCATTTTTTGGTTGCAGCCATTGTTGTTGTTTGGCGGGCCCGGGCTGGGGATTCGAACCCGCCACCTTAGGTGTATGTGGCTGGTGCCTTAGCCACTTAAGCCACAGGCGCCGAGCCAACTTATGCATCTTATAACTCAGAGTTTGTATCATTTGACTAATATCTGACTCATTAACATGATGAACTACATTAAGAGATTTTTTTTTTAAAAAAAAGAACACTTCTTTGGTTCCCAGAATTAACTAGTTAGTTAATTAACTCAAATGTTTATTGTGTGCTTTCTATGCTCTGTCCTAGGTAATTTACTTATAGCATAAATGAGGGACATGGTCTGTGTTCTCAGAACTAATCTGGCAAGGAAGATGAACTCTTAACACCATATAAACATCTACATAGAATATGTAAGTACAAATTGTTATGAGTGTTACAAAGAATTCAGTTTTATTAAGAACACTTGGTTGTTGAGTATGATTTGCTCTGGATTTTATTTTCTAATATTTTATTTGGGATTTTTGAATTAATATTTAATAGTGAAATTAGTTCATAGTGTTTTTCATCTGTTCTATCTTTTTCAGATTTGGGATCAGTATTATCTGATTATGTTTTCTAAAACAGCGAAAGCTTTCTTCTTATATCCTCAGAGAGTTCTAACAACATCAGGATAATCTATTCCTTAAGGGTTTGAAGACATTACATTTGGAATGCTATAGGCCAGGTTCTTTTTTAGGATGTAGTTTTTAATGTACATTTATTCCTCTACAGTTAGTTCCTTTAAAAAACAAGCAATTTATTCAAGTCTTCATATATAGGTATGTTTTTATATGCATATTTATTTATTAATCAATTTAACTATATCTCGTTTCTATTTGGGGGTAATTATGATTTTTCTTTTGCCTCTTTTTCTGATGGAAGATCATTTTTATCAGTTAAATTTCAAGAACTGATTCTTCGGTTTAGTTATCCACCCATTACTTTTCTATTTTCTTTTCTTTTTTTTTTTTGAGATGGAGTCATAAGCTATCACCCTGGGTAGAGTGTCATGGCATCACAGATCACAGCAACCTCAAACTCTTGGGTTTAAGCAATTCTCTTGCCTTAGCCTTCCCAAGTAGCTGGGACTACTGGCCCACGTCACAATGCCTGGCTATTTTTTTTGTTGCAGTTGTCATTGTTGTTTTAGCTGGCCCAGGCCAGTTCGAACCCGCCAGGCTCGGTGTATGTGACTGGTGCCCTACCCACTGAGCTATGGGTGCTACCTACTATTGTATTTTCGATTTCATTAATTTTTGCCTTTTTAATTAAATGCTTTCTGCTTTCTCTTGGTTTTATTTCAGGTTTTTTTTCTAACTTGTTGAGTGCTTCATTGACTTACATTTAAAACAATCAATTTTCTCTGACTACAGCATTATTCATAAACTTGAGGTTTTAATATTATTTTGATAATAATTTAAAAAATATATGCTGCAATGAAATCTTGGTTTCTACTTTACCCAGCTGCAGAAAGTATTGTTATTATAACATTTCCTGGTGGTAGGGATTTATTGGTTTCTATTTTTGTTATTATTTTTCTGTTTTTATTTCACTGTGATCCGAGAATGTGGTCTGTCCTATTTCAATTTCCTGGAATTTATGAAGAATTTCTTTATGGCCAATTATGTGATCAACTTTTATAAATGTTACACAGGCACTTGAAAGTAAGTTTATTCTTTGTTTTCAGGATTTAGAGTTCAAGATTAGAGGTTCAAAATCAAGTATTCAGATTCCCTGTCTTTACATATTTTTCTATCCTACTTGTCTTCCTTGAGCTGAGAGAAGTCTTCTATTTCCCTTATATTTCTCTTAATGTAGCTTTGCTTTTTTCTGCAGATTTTCTATCACATACTAGATATGATATTCTTGAGCACTGTGTTCTTTTTATCAGGATAAATTACCCTTTTTGGTCTCATTTAATGCCTTCTGCCTTAATTTTAATTCAGTAGTATCCTGACCCCCTGTTTTCATTTACTTTCAATCTGAGTTACCTTGTTGTGGATAAACTTATGTATGGAACCAAAACAATACACAACCCACTACATATTACACAATATGCAAGGGCCAATCAGAAAGACTGCAGGCCCTCGTACCACTGAAACAGGGTCCTGTTCATCGTGGAGAAAAAGTATCAGGGAAGGGGGCCCTCAAGAGGCTTGATGGCAGCCTTTTTTTTGAGACAGAGTCTCACTTGGTTGCCCTGGGTAGAGTGCTATGGTGCTATGGAATCATAGTTCACAGCAACCTTAAATGGCTGGGGTCAAGGATTCTCCCTCTCAAATAGCTGGGACTACAGGCACCTGGCTAGTTTTTCTATTTTAGTAGAGACAGGGTCTCACTCTTGCTCAGGCTGGTCTCAAACCCCTAAGCTCAAGTATTCTACTTCAAATCTTGTTTATGACCTAGCACTACTCCATTAAAGAATAAGAAGACAAAATATCCCTTACCTAGAAGCGCCACCAGGGTTAGCAGAATCACTATGTGCTTCATTCCTTTTCTTTTATGGCAATATAGGAGAATGCAGAAAATTAATATTTCTAGAATCTAGAAATGAAAAAGATGGAAAAGGGTAAGTTCTTCTTCACAAAGTCTTCAAAATGGCACACTTCTCTTTCTGACTTTGTAGCAGTGCTTGCATGAGAGAGGGTGACGCAGTTCCTAAGGACAATTATCAGTACACATGAACAGCCTAAGGCACCTTAGCCATCCAGACCCAGATGTCTAACACCACCTACCTACCCCCTAGCAACCTCCCTGGGACTCCAGTCTCACTTATCCAACTGTCCATGAAACATTTCCATGTGCTTGTTTCACAGACGTGCCACACTCATATAGGCACCTGCTCGATTCCCTCCCTTCCCACATGTTCCTCCTGGGGCCTTTGTCCCTCAGGAAGAGGCATCACCAAACACTGTTGCACAAGTCAAAACTCCTCCCATTCTCCTCACTCCCCACCATCCTTTCGCTGGACAGCTGCATTAGCTTCTAATTCATCTCTGATTTTACTGACGTTTCTCTAGGACCCAGCCATTCAGTAGCCAGAGGAATTATTTAAAGACACAACTTGGATAATGAAATATTTAACTGATAGAGAACATACATGGTATACATCTAGGTGGTTAGAGTGGCAGGACAAGTAATTCACATGCCCTCTACCTGATCTAAGAAACAGGACCCATCAACACCTCTAAAGCTTCTTGTGTGCCCTCCCCAGCTCTGTGTCCCTCCCCCACCTCCCCAGGAACCACTATGCTGAACTGTGTGTTTATCGTTCACTTCCTTTATAGTTTATCACACTTTTATGCATCTCCAAACACCTTGTTTATTGTTGCATATGTTTGGACTTATAAAAGTGAAATTATACTTGCTTTCATTGCTTGCCTTTTTATTCTGCATTATGTTTATGAAATTTATCCAGGATGAAACATGTAGTGAAAATATAAATTAGACCCAGTCATTTCTTTGCTAAAATATCTTATGGTGTCCTATCCCATTTAGAGTAAAATCCAAACTCCCTCCTGAGGACAAAGCCCCAGGAAACTTCTCAGGCCTCATTTCGACCACTTGCCCCTGCCTGGTTTGCCCTGGGCCAGCCACAGTGGCCTAGTTATTTCCTTTTTCTTTTCAGTTCTTCGTGATCCTCAGATTGCGCCCACCTTTGGGCCTCTGTACTTTCTGGAATGCTCTTTCCCTGATCTCTGCACAGTGGCTCCTCCCAGCCACTCAGCTCTCAGCTCAGATGCCAACTCTCTTAAGAGTTCTGTAACTCTTCTGCTCTGAGAGCCACTGCTCATCCTGTCACACCCCCAGCTTCAGGTCGCTGGGGAGCATTTGGCCATCATCTGGTGTGTTTCTTGTTCGTCTGCTTATGTGTTTTCTGTCTGTCTCCCCCATTGGGACACCAGCTCTGGAACAGGGACCTTACCTGCTCTGTGTGCCTGGCACACAGTCAGCTACCCAGTAAGTATTGATGGGATTAATGAGTAAACCACACCTCGAGTTCATTACCTTGCCAAAAAAAAAAAAAAAAGACCTGATATCTAAAACTGAGTATTCAATAAATATTAATTGACTGAAACTCTAAAATTTTCCTACCCTTATGAAAACTGGAGTGTAATTTTGAGTTCTCAGTTTTATTTTTGTTTTAGCTTTTTTTTTTTTTTTTTTTTTTTTGCCATTCTTTGGCATCCCTGCAGTGAAATCATAAATATGTGTGTTTACTTTCCTGATGTTAGGTAGGTAAAAGTTATCATCACTAATATTTTTTTCTTAAAAATCGCTAGAGTTAGAGATTTTATTATTTCCAAGACTGCGTTCTACTTATCAGGCCATCTCTAAATCAACTTAAATCTCTGTTTCTATTCAAGGTTTGGCTTGTTGGTTTGTGTTTTTTCCTTTAATCCTCTATGGGCATGGGAAGTCACAGTCCCGTATCTTTCCCACTTAAGAACCTTTTATGAAACACCTTAATACGGAAATCGAATCATCCCTTTTTTTCACTCTTTCCTTCTGGTAAATTAAACCAATTATTTTAACTTTTCCTTGGAGGACTTATTTGCCAGGCCTTTAACTGTGTTGTGCTACAAAAACTATTAAACTCCTATCTCTTTGCCTTCCCTGAAGCTGTCATCAAAACACTGGGTGTCCCAGGCTCCATGCAACTCACCCGTCATTACCAGAAATATCCCTGGAGGCTTGGTCTTAACCACAGGCTTCCATTTTTCAGGAGAGACAATTAAAACAATTCACAGGGGTGTTCAGGACCACTGTATTCCTTGAGGAAGAAAAGTAAGCTTTTCCTACACTAAGGCACTGAGATGTTGGCTAAATCCATTAGCATGGTGATTATTCAGTTTTTAAGGGAGGATAAAGGTAGTTGCATTAGTTCTAAAAATCGTGTTTGACTTTTTTTTTTTTTTTTAACAAATTCTATCTCTGTGGCTTCAGATAAATAAAACATGAGCTCCCATTATTCACAGAATGATATAGTTACCCTAGTTCTGCCTTGTAGCAAGAGGTCACACAGCTCCCAGGAATAAAATTTTTCAGGCAGTATGAATTAATGTTAATGTTTTTTCTAGGAACATTTTTTTCCCCTCTCTGAAAGCATCAATATTAAAGAGGCTGTGATGTGTGCAGGTTGCCGAGCCCCAGAGGAGGCTGTGTTGCTGATTGCAGTATCAGAGGTCAGAAATAGTAACAGCACTTCCTGTGTGCCCACCGCACACTGTGTACTGTCCTCGGGGCTTTGTACTAATTCCCTGAATCCTCACAATTACCTTGGGAGGTAGACACTATCTTCACTTTACAGGTAAATAAACAAAGCCTCAGAGGGGTGGAATGATGCAACTCGGCGGGCAGAACAAGGGCTCCAGTAGAGGTCTGTGTGCCCATGGGCCTTTGCAAATGTGATTGAGGTTATGCACTTTAATGGGCCCATGATCCTAGATTATCTAAGTGGGCCCAATGTAATCACATGAGTCCTTAACAGCAGGGAAGATCCCCAGCTGCAGTCTCAGAGAGATGCGATGTGAGATAGACCCAAGCCAAGGAATGCTGCTGACCTCTAAGAGCTGGAAAAGGCAAAGAAACAGATTCTCCCCTGGAGGCTCCAGCAAGGCACGCAGCCCTGCCAATGCCTTGACTGCTGTCCAGCGCAGCTCGTGTTGGACTTTCGACCTACAAAATTGTAAGATGATAACTTCGTGTTGTTTTAGGCCACAAAGGTTGTGAAAATTGGTTATGGAAGTAATAGGAAACTAATTCAGGTTTTGGTACCTGAAGTGTTTCCAGAGGAACGGAATTTTCAGGATGAGTTTTACGCATTGATTTAAGATTTTCTGGACACGCTCTCTAATCTAATTAGATGTGAAGGCACTAATCACCCTGTTTTCAGAAGTAAAAAGGGCATTGGCCATCCAAGGGTTGGTATAGCAAAAGAGACAGACAGAATTTCACCACTGGATGCCCCACTTCCAGTACCAAAATCTGAGCTGAAGTTTACTTCACCTCTCATCAAGCTCTCTCTTGGAAGAATAGCCTTGTTTGTTTGTTTCTTTTGTTTTGTTGAGACAGTCTCACTCTGTCACCCAGGCTAGAGTGCCCTGGTGTCATGATAGCTCACAGCAACCTCAGACTCTTGGGATCCTCTTGCCTCATCCTCCCAAGTAGCTGGGACTACAGGTGACTGCCACATGCCCAGGTTTTAGAGATGGAGTCTCACTCTTGTTTGGGATGGTCTCAAACTTCCAAGCTCAAGGGGTCCTCTCACCTCAGCCTCTCAGAGTTCTGGGATAATAAGTGTGAGTCACCATGCCCAGCAGAAAGAATAGCCTATGATACGACTTCTTTGTCCAAAAGAAATGAGTTTTTTTTTTTTTTTTTTTGAGACAGAGCCTCAAGCTGTCCCCCTGGGTAGAGTGCTGTGGCATCACAGCTCACAGCAACCTCCAACTCTTGGGCTCAAGTGAGTCTCCTGCCTCAGCCTCCAAGTAGCTGGGACCACAGCCACCCGCCACAAAGCCTGGCTATTTTTTGGTTGTAGCCGTCATTATTGTTTGGTGGGCCCAGGCTGGATTTGAACCTACTGCCTTAGGTGTATGTGGCTGGCACCTTAGCCATTTGAGCCACAGGTGCTGAGCCAAGAAATGAGCTTTCAACAAGTTCTAAGGCCAAAGATCTGGACAAAGATTTGATCCTTGCTAATCAGCTTTATTAATTCTGTGTAGATAGGCGTTTAGTGAAGTGTATTGCAGTGTGCGCCCCAGAAGTAGACAGACTGGATTTGAATCCTGGCTCTGCCACTTTGTATTTATGTGACCTTGGACAAGTTATCCGACCCCTTCTCCCTCAGCTATCAGATGCAGAGGGTTTAACAGTGCCTGACTTGGCTAGGGCCATCAGGCAGGTAAGAACAGAATGGAGTCCCAGCTAAGCACAGGCTAAATCCTCACAGTGAGTGTCGGCTCCTACAACTGCCGAAGTGGCCGCTCCTGAGACATACCAGTGCTGTCTACCTGCATTCAGACAGTAACACAAACCAGCATCATGGCGTCATAGATTCTGATGTCATATAAACACATCCAGTTTTCTCCCTTTAGGTTTTTAACACCTGATGTTGGGTTCTGCCACAGCTCTGCCAGAAAGGCTGACTGAATAATTTACTTTGGGGTATATAGAATTGCACCAAACAATAGGCCTGGCCCTTGCTTCTGCTGATTTAATTTTTTTGTCTGGTGGAGAGAAAATGAGCACTCTGCACATTATTTTGTGAAGGATTTTATGTTCATAATAGAGCTTTCAGTTTGAATAGTCTTTTGGAAAATCTGGGTGGGCAAAATGGCCATGAATAAGCCTGCCAAAGAACATGAAGTAATTGAGGCTTAGGGCTGCGTTTCCTAATGTGGGTCCTGCAGACGCGTTCATAGGTATTACTCAACAAGAAGTCTTCCCAGAAAAAGGGCCTGATGGTCAAATAAGCCTAGGGCATGCAGGATGAACAAAATTAAACCTGTCTCTTTGTTAAAAGACTTCTACTTTGTAAT